ACCTGCATCACCAGAACTGGTCAACCGAGGGACCCAGAAACCATGCTATGTACTCTTCAACAACAATGGTCATGAATGACTTCCATCAAGGTCCGGTCCAACGGTCAAGAGATCTCCAGAAGGTTTCACGAAGCAGTCCCCAAACAATAGCATTCAAAAACAACAGTTGCTTCCTGCACTGATTTCGCACAGGAGCCAAACCTATTTGGATCATAAAACCAATCTCCTATGGATAGAGGGTCCCCAACCTTTTTCATCCCATGAACCAGCTGCGGAAGTTGGGGCACCCCAAGCTTGTGGGCATGTGCGAACGAGTGAGTGTGAATGAGCACGTGTATGTGCACAAATGGTGGTGTGGTGCTTATGCACACTCGTTCACTCATGCACATGCATAAATGGTGCAGTGTTCACACGGGGTGCAGGTGCGCTTGTGCAAATGTGCAAACAGCAGCGCGGTGCTCACACGGGCATGCACGGGCAAGTCTGTCTCCATGGCCCAGTTTGGTTCAGGCCACGGACCACCACTGGGCCACGGACCGGGGGTTGGGGACCTCTGTTCTATACCCTGAATCCACTTCATTTATTGTCATTCTCTGCAAACCTCTTAAATAAGCTACATAATGGTACCACAGACCCAAAAAGAGGAGATTGAAGAATATGCAGAGAGACCTTCCCGAATGTGATTTTATTCATGTGGAAATAGTGACTGTGACTTTGGCCAACTTCTATTATAGCCATCCCCAACATGGTGTCCTCCAATTCTGTAGGACTGCAATTCCTATAACTTCCAGCCATTATGGTCAATGGTTATATCCTGGCTAGGAATAGTGAGTTGTAATACAACATATCTTAGAGGGTACCGGCCAAGAGACCTACTTGCAGCAGAGTTCCTTCACCATTCATCCTATGAAAACACACTATTGCAATCTTAGATAAAGGCTGGAAAAGCCCATTTGGTTTTTAAGAATACTGGGAAGAAAAAGCTAAGGAGTGGATTCCATGTGATGACGAATAATGAGGAAGGCACATGCAACAGAGGGATTAAGATTAAGAGGTTTTTGTTTGTTTCCTTGCTTGTCTAATGAGGGATAGGTTAGATGGTAGATGGATAGAAATTACATCCATCCAAAATCATTACCAGAAAGTTAAGTGATAAGGATGGTAATGGTGTAAAGCCAGTGATTCTCATCCTGATGAGCTGGTCTGCTATACAATATTATGCAACAGGGAGGAAACAGCTACATTTCTAGGGAGAAATAGGTGTGGCTGCACAGATGGCTCCCTTCATCTTGCATAATTTCAATACTGGCAACACTGAAAAGTCCACTCAGTGTCTTTTAAAAGGTTGATACAGGGGTGGAGAGTGCATGGTTCTCCTTTAATACTGCCCTGAATAAATAAAAACTTTATGTGAAGAGATAACCAGTTTTCTTTAGCACTAATGTTAGTCCAACCTTGCTCCCCTATGCCTGAGTTAGTGTGTAAGAAAGTTTAAGAAATCTTATAAATAGAAGTTAAATAAATGAAAGGTTTTTTAGATTTCTTTCTTTGTTGGACTGCAGCTCCCATCATTCCTCACTATGAGCTATAATGGCTAGAGGTGGTGGGATGAACATCCCATGATCAAGATCTGGAGGGCCACATGTGCTTTCCCTATGCTAAAGGGAAAGTATCCCATTCTGTTACAGGGCACTAATGTTTCTGGTAGCCAGAAGATCATACCCTGGGCACAACACCCTTCACTAGTAGGCTGGGGCTAAGAGGCAGGCGACAGGAGCCATTGACGTTGAAGAACTGCTTGACATCCTCCAGCCCGTCACGAAGGATGGCCTAAGGGAGGAAAACACACACAGCAATCATTGAACACTGAATATCCCATTATTTGATTTTCAGTCTTCCTCACATCTCTTCCAAGTCCTTCCACAGCAGGTACATGCTTACAAGTCATGTCAACAAAACTCCCAAAACCAATTCCTATATTGGTTGGGTCTGTTCTTGTCATTTCTGTCACACTCTCCACTACTTGAACTCTACACCCAGAAAAAACTATATTCTTTGTTCCACTGCAGAGTCTAAGCAAAATAGCTCTGTTCTGCAAATACATGACTGCACTTACTAGATTTCCACAGTACCTTCCACTTAGTTGCTCATTTAGATGTAGGCTTTTAGAGAAACTACTGTTAAAGTTTGATATGAAATATGTCAGAAAAAGTAAACAAGAGGAAGAGGTTTGAAACCAGACGTAACTTTGTTTGCAGTGCAGTTCAATAAACTGAAAGACAAATGCACTGCCCTGGATCGGAGATACATAACAGAGCAATCTCTAAGATGTATGTACTTCAGAACATTTGTAAGAAATACCATTTATTTAAAATATTTGTACCCTATCTTCTTCCTTCAAGAGGACCCATACCACAGATAAATGTAACCAGTACATACTATCCATATAGTTTTCTTGTTTATTTTTTTTTCTTCCTCAACTCTACTTTCCCAGACATAGTAGAAGAGAAATGAATTTACCTGTCGTGATGATGGAGCAGCCTCGCGGACATGCTGAGCTAGCTTAGCCAGGGTATTAACAAGCCAGCATTGACGGTCAAACTCCTCTCGCAGGCCCTTCCCACAACAGCAGAGCAAAGCTGCCAGTAAGTACTGGTAACGGATGCTGAACTGAGAATCCTTCAGACCATCTTTCAGCAACCTAAGGAGATTGGGAAACTGCCACTGAAAACAATGTGTAGAAGATACCCATGTCTCATACATTCACAGCAGCCTTTCCAAACCAGGTGCTGTTCAGATGTGAAAGATTATAATATCCATCATTCTCAACCAGAAGGTTGGAGGACGCTAGGTTGAAAAAGGCAGACCTACACTAAAGTCAATGCAGCTAAAGTAAATTCCTCTCTTACAGCGAGACCAAGTTAACCAGTTCAATTTGCATGACTTATTTGAAAATCAAATTTTAGCTCTTACCAAACCTAGGTTTGGAAAAAAAAAAGTAAACAGGTGAAAATAAACAAGGGTGGTCAGGATAACAGAAAACTAAAATGGTGGATACCTATGAGAGAGTATAAGGCCAGTCATTTAAATTACAATGGACCCTTGACTTATGAAGGTCCCTAACTTATGGAAATTTCGAGGTACGAAAAGCTCCAGCTACAAAATTTTAGTTTGACTTGCAGCCAGAGCTTTGACCTACGAAAGGCAGAGGGAAAGGGCGGGAAATTCAAAGCCGCCCCAGCTGCCCTCTTGTATCCTGTCCCCAGTACCCTCTGCACCGGGGACAGGAGACAGAGGGCAGCGGGTGCAGCTTTCTAAGCTTTCGGCTTGCTCCACATCTACTGCCACCCACGCCCGCTGTCGGCTTTTGGCTTTGGGGGCTTAGAAAGCTGCACCCGCTGCCCTCTTGTCTCCTGTCCCCGGTACCCTCTGCCTCAGGCAGAGGCAGAAAGCCGGGGCGCAGAACGGCTTTCGGCTTGCAAGCCAAAAGCCACTCTGCGCCCACTGCCAGCTTTCGGGCCTTAGAAAGCTGCACCCGCTGCCCTCTTGTCTCCTGTCCCCAGGACAGGAAATAAGAGGGCAGTGGGTGCAGCTTTCCAAGCCCTGAAAACTGAAAGCTGGCAGCGGGCACAGAGCAGCTTTCGGCTTCCCAAGCTTCCAAAGCTGCACCCGCTGCCCTCTGTCTCCTGTCCCCGTGGAGTTGGGAGGCAGAGGGCAGTGGGGACAGAAGGCAGAGGGCAGCGGGTGCAGCTTTGGAAGCCCAGGGTTATTTTTTCTTTGGATGGAACAGATTAAATGGTTTTCAGTGCATTCCTATGGGAAATGGACCCTCGACCTACGGACTTTTCGACCTGCGGCCACCGTTCCAATACGGATTAATTCCGTAAGTCGAGGGTCCTATTCTTCTGTAGTGAGGACTAGTAAGTAAAGCAAATTTATTTGTGTATAGCTGTAGCCATTACAAAAGAAAGTCTGAAGGGATAAAATATCAAATACAGGATATGAATAAAACCATCTAAAAATAATATTTTCATTTGAAAGAGTTCAATCCTCAGTTAAAACATGATAATTATAACTACAAAACTTCTTTCTTAAAACTGTTGCTCTAAAAGCAAAGCCGCCTGCCTTTTTAGAAATGTATGGCACCTTATCTCCAAATAGAAGATTTACCAGATATGCACCAGATCTATCAAATGTGAGACCTAACTCTTGGAACAAAGCTACTCTCTGATCTTTATAGATTGGGCAGTCAATTAAATAGTGGGTTAGAACTTCAACTGCATTAGTTCCACATGGGCAAACTCTTTCCCCCAAAGGAATCCATTTGGAGGAAATGTCCTTCAACCACTGCAGAACTCATAGACTGGCAGCATTTCTCCATTTAAAACGTGTTATATTAGTTAAATACTGTGGGCAAGGTGTTTGAATAGGTAACTTAGCAGACCAGGGTTCACATTTTGACAGACAGGCAGAAATACGGTCAGCTCGAAAATCATATTTTAAAATATGGGACTTCAAGTATTGTGCTGCCATTTCGAAATTAAAACTATTTAAAAGATCACAAAAAAGACCATACATATAATTTGTAAAATTTCCTGATTCCAAGATAAAATTGTTAAAATTTAGCATCTCTTTAAAAACAGCCAGTAGTAGATCCAATCCCCTTTTCCAATTTCAGCCAGAATTTAATAGCATCGGTCTGTACTATAGCCTTCACATTATTAAGGTCTGCTTCTAACCGGAGAATACAGGTCTCAGTTCCTTTAGGAAGCCCTAGGATAGCTTGCAGATACTTATTTTGGGTTCTTTCTAGGTACATTTTCTGGGTGGACCCCCATATTTCAGCACCGTAGCATATCTGCGATATAACGTGGCCTCGTAGATTTTAAGAGCAGGTGGGAATTGCCTGTCACCTCTGCCCCAATAGAATCTTAATAGAGAGTTAATAGAGGTGGTGGCAATTTTATTAGTATTCTCTAGGTGGGTTTTCCAGGAGCCTAGTTGAGGAGAAGTTTAGTGACTTCGCTTGTTCTATAGGGTGGCCATCAATCTGCCATACATGAGTTTTAAACCTATTGGCAAATACTAGTATTATAGTTTTTCCGTAATTAATGTTCAGTTGTTCTTGTGTTGCTAATGGATTAAAAGCTTTCAGCAGCCTCCTTAGCCCTTGTTGTGTTTGTGATAATAAAATAGTGTCATCAGCATACATAAGTACTGTTAATTTTCCAGATCCCAGTTTGGGAGGTACGTAGTTATCATTGTTGCTCAACTCAGTAATTAATGAGTTGGCGTAAATATTAAATAGAGCTGGAGCTAACAAACATCCTACACCTCGTGTAGTTGGTATCATACATGATAACAAACCTGAGCAATCCATCATGACCTGAATCTTAGTGTCAGAATGGAGTTCTTGGATCAGCAGCAACAATCTTTTATCTATAGAGGATTTGCTTGATTTACCCCAGATACAATCTCGGCATATAGAATCAAAAGCTTGATAGCCAAGTGGGTGCAGATATTTTCCCCAACCCCTTTGTCTTCTCTAAGTGACCATTTCCGGACATGTAGATTGCTATTTTTGGGTTCACTTCCTTCTTCTTTCTCCGAAATCAGCTGTTCTTTTTGTTGTTGTTGTTGTTTTGAGGGATAACAGGCGTAATAACTCAGTAGGCGATTATGCCATTTGTGCAGCCATATATACCACAGAACTACATATGTAATAAAGAACAGGACTGCATTTTCCCCCAAGTGATTATGGTATGGATGCTGGGGGAATGAGCAAGCCTGAAAACAAAAGCACAGTCTCAAGGGAATGTATGTGGATGCTGCATGAAAAAAATGCTCTCGGCTTCTGTTCCCAAAGCCAGTATAAACTGATTGCTTGGAAAGTTCCCCAAGGACATTTCTTCAAAATCAATTAATGCAGTACTATTAACCACATTACATTTTAAAACTGCATATATACATGTGCACACATCCACGTACACAGAGAATACATACACATACAGTACTTAAAACATAGTCATTCAGTCAGTGAAGACAAATCATGATAAGAGTAAACATTTTGCCACTGTTGTTTATGTCAAGTGTAGCAGTAGTCCTTTCCGTCTATAGTACAATAGAGAGAACACGTTACATACACTCAGAGGCTGACTGTCTCAGAGTTTATCCTGCTCTGTAACCCTTTGCTGGAAAAGTTCAGGGTGCTCTAAAAACGTCAACTACACAACATTCTTGTTAGAGTGCTTCATATAGGTCTAGGGTTGGAGCCTACTGTTTATATAGAGCAATTAGGATTGGTTTTCCTGTTGTGTGATCACCTAGATTGCTCTAGTGCAGGGTTGGGGGTGTATTCTTCCTACATTTTAGTGGTGATATGTGGAGGTGGGTGTGGTTTGGCCATGACTGTGGATGGCACCCTCCATCTATTTCGAAGTGGAAAAACTGCATTTTTGTTTTAATTTCAATTTTTTAAAAATTACTTTTCCATTATTGTGCTGCATCACTTAAGTGCTATGCTATTTACCAAAAATTCATTTTCTAAAAATAAGGAGAAAAGGAGAAATTCAGGGCTGAAGCATAACACTCCATACCCTCCTTTCTTTGTGTGCATAAAAACCTAGCATTAGTGCCCACTCACAATAATTATAATTATAATTATTACACTATGTTCGTTATATTTATGTTGTTTCAATGTGTTTTAATCTTTGTAAGCCGCCCCGAGTAGACATTGTCTAGAGGGCCGGGGTAAAAATTGAATGAATGAATGAATAAATAAATAAATAAATAAATAAATAAATAAATAAATACAAGCAAACAGAAGGCGGCTGTTTTCAAACTGGCTGACAGCTATTGCAAAAGAGAAATCAGGAGACAAGGTGAGAGAAGGGGAGGGCAAATTATGATGAAATGGACCAAAATGGAGCGATTTATTGCAATTGTAGGGGCTGCAGGAGCAATTTCCATGTGAGGGGAAGGAGCAATCCTATCACGCCCCACCATTTCAAAGTGTTCCAAAGTGATCCAGACTAGATTGCTCCCTGTCGCTAATGTTCCCTAGTATTGAAAGATGTGGAACATTGCCATTAATATGTTCCAAAATGGATGAGAAGGCAAAAGGGCCATCCTTCCTTTACATTTCAAATACAAAATGGTTGCTAATGAAGTGGTTGAAAATTATTTAGGAGTAATCAATCTTTTCAAAATGGCAGAGGACTTGGGAAGGTAGAATACTATTAACTGTGAGGGATGGAATTATTTCAAATTAACTGCAGAATTCAAGAACATGACTTGACAAACACTGCCTGTGACAGCAATTCAAGGGCCTACTGCCTTCTCTTTGGACATAATGGTCCAGTTTTAACCCTGATTATGTAGTTATCACTAGCACATACTAGCAAGAGACTAGCAATCTACCTTCAGGGTCCTAAAAATCAATTATTGCAGATACTAAGGCTTCAGAAATTCCAACCATATGGAGAACTGCTGCTCTAGATCAGTGGTTCTTAACCTTTGTTACTCGGATGTTTTTGAACTGCAACTCCCAGAAACCCCAGCCAGCACAGTTGGTGGTGAAGGCTTCTGGGAGTTGCAGTCCAAAACTCCCGAGTAACCCAAGGTTAAGAACCAGTGCTCTAGAGGAACAGAGCAGCATTAACTGCCCTCGCAGTAAATACTCTGCTACTGCAACTTCCTTGCAAAGTAGAACCCTCTCCAATGACACATGTGACGGAATGTCAAGATATTTGTAATGGAGCAGATCACTATATTGTAAATTAAACCTGAACATATGAAATGTACTCATGTAAGTAAAATATGTAAAAAAGACTATATGTAAAGTGCAAGCATATGCACTTGACATGATCTTACTTCTTCTTCCTGTGAAAATATTGACTCACCTGTACCAGTTGGGGTAGATAATCTAGCAACTCAGCATCAGAGATGGAATCAATCCATTGCACAGCTGTTCTTCTAACCTCCTGATCTGGAAACCTGCAGCCGTATACCAGAGTTTACAAGAGATGATCATCAGAAGACTGATCCTCTCCACACTCATCCTCAATATGTGGTGTCATAGCTGAGCATTGATGGACATTTTCAGAAAAGCACCAGATTCATACAAGTTGAAGATATGAGACATTTTTAGACATGGAGGCAAGCAATACTGCTCATGTAGGTGCATGCACTGACAAGTATGCATGGCATAAAACATCTGCAACATTTCTGGACTAATATATAGTGATTGTTTCAGGTGTTGTGTATGTATTGTATGTGTAGCTGGCTGATCACAGTATCAGAGAACATGACTCATAACAATTGTACGTTTTCATTAACACCCTGAATTTACACAATTTGTGGACTGATACATAGTAATCGTTAATAGTACTAGGATATACTGTACGTTATTAGTCTGGAGCTTGTGTAATAATAGTGCATTTCTGAACAAGTGCAGTGATTGTCAAACCAAGCTATGCTGCCACACTGTAAGAGCTGTGCAACCCATAAAAAGGAATATTCAGTTGCTGACAGCACCTTTTTGGGCTGATTGTAGGAAAGAACACTCAGATGTGATTTTACTTCTAGGTAAATACATGCTGAATGGAGCACAGTGACATTCATGTTCAACCACTGCCACTACGGGGTAGCAAGAAAGATGAAGCGAGGCTGGAAGTTCTGAATGGCCAAACTGCAATTTCAGAACAAGGATCAGACTTTTAGTCCCCTGTACAGATAAGGCAGCGGTGAAGAATGAGGGCCCTGCCAGATGTTTTTACACCACAATTCCATCATATGCTATGCTGGTGATGACTGAAGGGAGTTGTAGTCCACTAACATCTGGAGGGCCATGCAATTTCCCCCTTCCTTAACTTAGATACCAACCGGTTCTTAGGCAGATGACTTACGCTGCATGGAGGAGCCCAAGAGCATCCTGGTGATTCATGTGAGTCCATTGCTTCAGCAGGACATAGATGTCAGGCAAGCAGGCCCACTCCCAGCTGGGGGCACTAGCAAGCAGGAGAGGCAGTGAACCCGGCTCAGAATGACAGTAATAACGCTTCTCCCATAACCTCTTTCGGTCAGCATCTGTTAGCCTAAGAGAAGAGGAATCATAAGATCAGTCCAGGGACACAAGAACCACTGGCCATGATGGCCAAATAGAATCTCTGGGCTTAGTTGTGATATGCCTTGGTGCAACACATGGTTTTTGTAAAGTTTTCGGAAGCATGCAGCTAGCTAGCACTGAAATGATGGTTCAAGATAGAGCTTTGGTCTAAAAAGGCTCTCATATTCTGGGAGAATCTTATGGTGCTGTCTATGCAGTTTCTGTGCTCAATTCAAGGTGCTGGTTATGGCCTATAAAGTCCTTAATGGTTCAGGACCTCAATACTTGTTGCAACATCTTTCAGAGATCACCTACCCATTTCACCTGCTCCTCTCAATCCATGTTGCTAAAAGTGGCCACACTGAGGGAAGCAGGAACTGGGCCTTTCCAGTGGTGTCCCCCAGTCTCTGGAATAAGTTATGAACTGATATAGGCCAAGCTATTTCCCTCTTTATGTTCAGGAAATTGAGGAAAACAGAATTATTCAAAATGTCCTTCAACAACTGATTCTCCTGGATGCTGTTAATATTATTTTTAAAACTTCTCTCTCTCTCTTTTCTATGAATTTCAGACCTATATGTGTCGAATTGCCATATTCTTGAATGTACAGTACTGTCATGTGGAGTCTTGTGGACTTTTAATCTGTGAACTGCCCAGAGTAGTGCTTGCATTAATGGGGCAGTATATACAGTAAATCAAATCAAATCAAATCAATCTGCAATAGACAGGCATACAGGGAAAGAGTGGGAAACATTTCTGTACAGGATGTTTGCTTGAGAGAAAAGCGGAAGGGGAGAAGTACACACTTAAAGCAGGGATGGGTAACTATGGGAGGTGCTGCTGGACTACAATTCCTACCATTCCTCAATGTTGGCTCTGCGGCCTAAGGTGCCGGGAGCTGCATTTTAGCAACTTTGGTAAGGCCATGCATTACCTGCTGCTGACTACAAAGCAGGGTAACCTACCCATTGAGATCAGATGTTCCCAGTGCAGTGATGTAAATGCAAGACATAGAACCTGACTTTGCTTATTGTCCTCTTTTCATTCCTTTTATTGTGTTTACCAGCCTACAAGTAAGGCCTGTTTTTTCTTTCTATCTGCACACAACGCTTAGAAAATGTAAGGAACTATTAATAAATAATAATCATATAATATCAAGTTAATTCAGGGTTTCCCAGGTAGAGAATACTCAGAAGTGGCTTTACCATTCCCTTCTTCTTGGGACAGCCTGGGACTGTGCAGCTTGCCCAAGGTCACACAGGCTGGCTCTGCTCACAGGGGCCACAGGGGGGAATCATACCTAACCCACTGAGCTACCTAACCAGCCAAGGCATTACTAAGATATCGATACAAGTAGAACAAGAGTAGTAACAATGATAGCAATAGCTGCAGAAGGGGCTCTGGGCCAACTGCTCAAATGCTGTATGCTCCCATGACTATAGCTTAAATCTGGGGTGTTTGGCATATTGGTGATTTGGAGGCCGAGGGCTCTTAGTGCTATCAATCAAACGGCACCATACTTGTTTTCCTTTAATGAACTGGTTGTGGCAAGAGAAGATATGGATGCTGGAATGGTAAACCCTGAAGGGGAATTAACTCCAGTGTAATAAAAATGCAGTCACAGAACCAGAAGGTTACAGATGTTTGATACTGGTGGCTGACACCCCTGTAAACTGTTTGAGGTAGGGCAACTGCAGGATAGAAAACATGTATGGAAGCACTCATGGTCACCAGAGAGAGGATAATGCCTTGTGCAGCCACCAGAGAGCAGCAAAATAACAGGGTGGGGGTGGGGTGGGGGGAATCCACACACCATTTATAATATAGAACAACATCGCAGAGTGTTCCAATTCCCAGTCAGTTTCCCATTCCGAAGACAATGGGATCAGGTGGCTAATGAGGGAAACAGAAGCAATATCATCTCCAATCTAGTGGGATCAAAGGTTCAATTGCCCAAAGGGCAGCAAAAAGAATGGAAGCTGCAGCTGGTGGTGAGATGGAAGAGCACTTTGGCTGAATGGAGCCACTGGAACATAATGAAGGCCTTCGGGTCTTTCTTATATCTCCTTGCTTACTTCCATGTCAACATCTTCCACCACAACAATGACTGTCCAGTATGTGTATGAAGAGGGTGACTGAGACTATACATCCTCCAAACCTGCCTCGTGTGCATGTTCAGTACAATATATTGTACTATGTTAAAGGTCTGGCAACAACCAAAAGAAAGAAGGAAACCAGTAGTGCTTAATTCCAAGAAACTGAAGTCATGAAGATATTGCTAAGAAGTCATACCTTCTGACCTAGAAGCTCTCCTCCTCCTTACCCTGAGTTAGTACTCAGAAATTAGATACATGTGCTTTATATATTCCCAGACACGTTTTTTCTTCATATGACTCCCAAATTCACTTACTCTGAAAACATGTCTTATGGACTGGGCCCTAGAAAAAATGGATGCCTTCCCTCGGGGCACGTAGTAGACAATTAATTTGACTTGATACCATCTGGAAATCTGGGGCTTTTTCTGAAGCCATCCCAGATCCCTGCCCCTTCCCTGATTTAGCAAAACCAACCAACCAACCAAACAAACAAACAAATAAACAAACAAACAAAAACAGCTTATGGTGCTACTGGAAGCCACCAGGAGCAAAGGTTTTGCACGTAGTGCTCCAAAATGTCCGACAGAACAAAAACAAAATGCAGAAGTAGATGTCCAGAAGTGGGAGCAGAAAATGGGCCCCTGGACCACTGGACGTTGTCCACCATTGATCTATAGACAGATTCAAAGAGATCACAGAACTAGGAATTCATCTCTGAGAGACACATTCCTGCCTCTCCTTCAAACTGATGACTGTCCTCTGGAATGAAGGACAGATTTTTTTTTGCCAATATCACCATTTTTATTATGCTTGCATATCTACAATTGTCTTCATGTCTCAAATGAACAAAACAGAATAGCAAGGAAAGCAGTCTGAACAGGACTGATGCAGCATGAGCACTCCTAACTGCTTCCTACTTCACTAGTGAAGTAAGGATAGAATTTGAAAGAGACAAAATACTAAGAAGCTAGGGCCATAAAGCTGCTATTAGCAGTTAGCCCCAAGGCAGGAGACTGAGCATCTACACCGACCAGCTGGTTCCAGGCTTCCTCATTAGAGTGAGATGTACTGTCAAACTCTTTAAGTTGCAGTAAATACTTCTAAATATTCATCTTTAAATATGAATTGGCATACACACATTTGTATGCAAATCTGCCTTCTGTTATTTTTTTCTTTGTCTTCTACCCACGCCATCTCTAACACTACATATTAGGGAGAGAAAAGTGAGGGAAAGACAACCCCTTATTATTACTTGGCACATTCCTGCGTTAACCCCTAAGACTGGTAATAATTTCTCATGGCTAAAGCCTAAATCAAGCCAAGCTTTTCTGAGCCGTGCTGGCAAGGTTATGTGTGAGAAGGATGCAAATGGAGAGAAGAATTGGAAGGAGACCAGGGTTGGTTTTGTGAAAAGCTATAGCTAAGAACCAAGGCCATCAAGATCAGGCTGCTATATTGTGACCGGACTAAGAGGGAGATTGGGCGTATCAACATTGGCAAAGCTACCCAGGAGGGGCTATCACACAATAAGGCTAGCTTTGTTTCCACTGGTTTCCTTGAACCAACCCCAGGAAATTCATTCACTCACACCAGAACAAAGATGAAGGAGTATGAAAGCATTGCCCATGAGAACTTCCCACCCCAGTGGAGCAGACAGGAAAGGATGTGGCACTGCCTCCTCCACAATGCCAGGAAAGCCCTGCCTCCCACTTTACAACACTGAGCAATAGCTGAAGAAAACATTCTTGCTTTCAACCAGACTGCTGCCAAGAGAGAGAGGGGAAGGAGGTGAGGACAGGCTGCCATCTGATCCCATCATATTACTTGTCTAGGGTAAAGAATGGTCTGGGTGACAAGGGGTCAGAGTGGTATGAGAAACACATTTTGGGGACTGTCTGCTATATGAACTTACTTCTACTGTACCCAAAGACAGGCAATGTCTGCAAATCCGCCCTTCACCTCCCCCGCTTTTGACCCCCTTTTATCCCCCTTTGTTTTCCTGTTCCTAGCTATTTATGTTTATATAAGAATTAAAGGAGCTGTGGATAAAAATTATTAATCGGGGGAAGCTCTAGAATGAAAAAATAGGATTGGAAAAGGCAAAAAAGCAAAGTGTGCTGCTATATTTTGTTTACTTAAAGCGCTCTCTGGGCAGTTTACAAGAATAAAAATTATTAATCAGGGGAGGCTCTAGAATGAAAAATAGGATTGGAAAAGGCAAAAAAAGCAAAGTATGCTGCTATATTTTTGTTTACTTAAAGCAGTGGTTCTTAACGTTGGGTTAAAGGTAAAGGTAAAGGTTCCCCTTTCAACTTTGAGCCGGTTACCTGGGAGTACAGCATTTTAACCACTGTGCCACAGGCCAACCAACTGATGGAGGCAACCATACCCGCTTGCCATAAAATTCTTCTTTCTGAGAGTGATTATCATATTAATAAACCAAAAGAGATCCTTCTATTTTAGTAGGCTTAAACTCTAAGCACACAGGTATGCTTAGACTCTTAGTGCGCTTGGACTCTCTAAGAGTGGCAAGAGTATGACTGCTTTCTGACTAAGTCTTATCTCTGCAATTGCTCCCCTTTGTTCACTTGGTTTTCATGGAGCATCCAGTCAGTGTCATCATCAGTCTCACTGGGTGTGTTTCATGTGTTTTTTCTACTTATTACTCATGGTGATTTAATGGGAGTCAGGGTAATTAAAAATCCAATTGCAGCGCCAGCTTCTTTACAGAAGCTATGAGGGCTTCCTGTGCCTCTAATTAAAATACTCCTTGCTTGTAAGTTCAGTCCATCTTAGGGAGAATGTGGCCAAGGAGTAAAGATTGTTGTGCTATATTAAATGTTTGTGTGGAAAATCTTTTCAATTCCACTTCAAGCTAATTGTGGAGCACAAGCATCTTTCTCTGAGGAAACCTATTTGGGTTTTGGGTTCCATGGGCTCTGCACAGCCTCTTACACAATATTAATATATTGTCCCGTCATCTTTGTAGTGCTTATACCTCATGGTAGAGGATTACTCATGAGAGATGGTATAAAGAGTTGTGGTACCTACCCAGGTAGTTACTAACCAAAGAATATGTGGCCACCAGCAAAGCATATTCAGAAGCAATGTACAATATGCTAAACCCTACCTATGGATGATTATTATGGATCCACCCTCCCTAACAGTAAAAATATAATGGGTTGATCAAGACTAAGTTATAATTTGAAAAGATCCATTGAAATCAAAGAAATTTCAGACATCATGACTAGCCTCGATTGGGACAATTCTAAGAATGACTAGATTCAGCCAAAGAACAGTGCATTAATAGCTAACCATTTGTCACATTTTCATCATGCCAACGATCCTGCTGTTTACATGGCTACTTGACTCTGTCCACCAGTAAGACTACGTAACATTCTTGGGTGAAATGGCACTGATGGCCACACATTCAGTTGATGTTGTATTTTATAGGTAAAAGACAACAAGACTGAAAAGGGTTGGCTAGTCTCTTGGATTAGACAGACTGAAGAAACACTTCCTTGTACAATAACTTTCTGAGAAAAGCCTTTTGGAATCTGGCCAACTCTATCAGCAAATAATGCTCATGAAGAGATGACACACCCTCACTTCTTCTCTAGAAACAGACCAAGCAAACCTACAGGTCAACTCACTTTAAGTTTCTGAATGTTGATGTTATGGACTAGATGGTCCACAGGCCTCAGGTTGTCCCATAATTTCTGGATGGGCTGAAACACACATTAATGAATGTAATCTAACTAGCTTACTTAGTTAATTCACTCAGAAAGAGGAAAGGTCTCAACAACCACAAAAGACAACAGAAGGCCAATGTTAAGACACTTGGTTTTTTGTTTGCTTTTTACTTAGGACTCGGGACATCCTTGAAAAGACTAAACCACTGGTTCTTAACCTTGGGTTACTCAGGAGTTTTGGACTGCAACTCCCAGAAGCCTTCACCACCAACTGTGCTGGCTGGGGTTTCTGGGAGTTGCAGTTCAAAAACATCCGAGTAACAAAGGTTAAGAACCACTGGACGAAACCATCCTAAACCAGTAAAAAAAAAATCATCACACACACAAAGCTGTTTATGAATAGTCCGCTATTAATTTTGAGATCTGCTTCAGCAAATACACCAATGGCTCATTCAGAATGATGCAACAATAAGAGAACACTGGCCAGAGGGCACTATTTGCTCATGGGATGCTGCCTCCCAGCACAAGAAGCTACTTTCTGAGTCACCTTACAGTTCTATGCCTGTTTTCAATATTAACTCTAGTTGAATTTTTTTTAAATGAAAAGATATACCCTGAAAACCATGTTACAAAATGCACTGGGCTCATATCCCATAGCTCTGCCCAAATTCTATCTAGGCACCAGTACATCTGATATTGTGCCCTGATAATCTCTAGCAAGAGACATGGCCCACAGAGTGATACAGCGCTACAGAAGTGCTAAAGATGCACTCAGAAGGAGCAAAGGTTGTCTACTTGTACTTCATCATTCTAAGTGACAGATCAGTTTCCGGGCCAGTGTTCTCCCTTTGAGATGCTCAATTTAGTTACATCAGGAGTTGTCAGTGAACAGGAGTCTCCTCCTTTGAGTGCTTTCACAAGGATCTCAGTTACAACTAAAGGCCTGTGTGCTCTCCATCCTCTCACCAATAGAGTGATTCCTTCTGCATCACCTCCTTCAGCTTCCGCTGGTCCTCCTCAGAGAGGCAACTGAAGTTGTACTTGGGACTGAAATCTGCTGGTGATGGGCTGGTAAACTTGACTTCAAATGCTGAGCTGGGGAAGTCAATCTGCAGGAAATTAGGAGAGAAGAATGGCCTTTTAGACACAGATTTACTGTCTTCCTAAAAGGACTGTTAAGTATTGGTAGTACCTTATCCACACATCACTTCATGAAACTAGCTTCAAAGAGTCTTAGCCTTTGACAACAGTATCCTAGCACTTTATTATTCATGTAACCACATGCTAATTCAAATATTGCACACATTGCACAGATGTGGGGAAGCAGAGGCATTAGTGGCCCACTTTACATTTTCTTCCAACTACTGTGCAACACGCAAAGCTCCTGATCATCAAATAAAGGCATTTGTGTAGACATACAGTGGTGCCCCGCATAGCGAGATACTGTGCAACATGCAAAGCTCCTGATCATCAAATAAATTACAAAGGCATTTATGTAGACATATTTTTTTAAAAAAATAACCAAAGCAATATAGTGTACTCCTTCTGCACACAGTCATAGAAGGGCCTCAGTATGCAGTGCCATGAATTTACTGTGCCACAGAGTCTAATATGCTGGCCTTCTTGTTTACCTAGACTAAATGGTGCACTGACTTCTCTGGGTCTCCTTGGGTTCTTCTGGTAAAAGAAGGCCGAGAACACATGATACCATCTCCTTTTGCACACTTCTTGAAAGTAGCAGGTAGGCAACAATAGTGAGCATGTCCAGCCTATCCTAGAACATCAGGTTATTCATTATTTTTTAGTGTGCACATGCTTTTATCTATAGTGCAGCAGGTTCTCCTCAGTGCTCAATATGCTTTAAGCAAGAAAAGTACAGCAGTGTTTGGAGCCATAGAAAACTTCAGGGGAGCTGTAAAATTAAGCTACTCTCTGTCCCATACACTGCCAGTATCCCAGGGCTGCTTTCTGGGTAGAAAAGAAGAAAAAAGAAAAAACAGACCAAGAAGAGCAGCTGTGTAAACTGAACAAGGGCTTAAGACCAAATCACATCACCTCCTAGCCACACCTATGTTACTGGGGAAGTAGCAGGTCATGAATCATTTAACTGCTCCACCACACCATGTGCTCAGATGTGACTCACCGCGTTCTTCACAAAAAAATCTCCAAAGCCAGCTATGTAATGGTGAGCCGCTCCCAACCTAGACTCTGGGTGGAAGAACCAGAATAGCCCTTTTCCCTGTGGATCTGGCACCTACCACTGGCCCAGTAACCCACATTATCATATATGTGAAAGGAATGCGTGGATTAGCAATTATCAGGGAAGCAGCGTTGGCTCCAAGCTAAATATCATTCTTTTGGGTGGTAAGCATATACAGTATATATATAATCCTTTTGCTCCAGGCTCTTGCATGTTTTGTATGCCAACATACACGAGGAATCTCTAGAGACATGCACCATCCTTGGCTTCTTCCTGAAACAGATAGTGGACGAATTAAATGCTCTGTTGGTATAGTGTGTGTACACCCCCACAAAATATAACAATATCACTTTTTTTAAAAAGGGACCATCAACCTGGGCAAGATGTTGTAAAGAGCTGCTATGGTGTACTAGCTCAGAGACTGAACTAAAAATCAAGAAGTTCTTTCTTTAAATCGGATCTGTCCCTTAAATTCACTCCATGGCTTTGCGTAAACCACTTTCTCTCAACCCCACACCCCTCTGCAATAACTGGATAATGTTCTTCCCTGTGTTCCATTGTTGCTGCAAGGCTGACAACTAAGCAGCAAATATGAGGTGTGTATACTATTCTGGGGACTGAAGCTGTAAATTGGTTAAGAGAACATTGAATCTTTCAAGAGGAAAGACTGCTCCATATCCTTGAGTTTTGAAAAGCCAGAACTGTACCCATTGTTAAATGCGACAAACATCTGTTAGCAACATACTCTTCACACAAATGTACACAATTTGCAGTGGCAGGAATGAAGAGAATTGTTAGCAATAACTGGTTTAAAAAAAATAATTAAAAACTTGTAAATGGATTTGGAAAAGAAAAGTGATCTCTTGGTTGTGTGCCAAAGGAATCAACTCTGTGTAACCAGGTTGGAGAACTGCAGCCAAAAGGAAGGGAAAAGACTGAATGGAAATCATTGGAGCTAAAGCAGGGCTGGGCTGGATGCTCAGTAATAATCTCACTTCTTGCTCCAGTTCAGTACCATAGGAGAAGCATGCACAATATGACCCAGAGAAAAAGATTCTGAAACGCAGCCCAGATATATTCTCTTTCCCTCTGCCAAGTCTCCACTTTAAGAACTTCACCCCCTCTTTCCATTCTTTCTTTCCACACCCAAAGCAGAGGCTTGGGATTTTGCCATCAATTTTTGTAGCTAAAAAGGATTGTGTAGAGATCGGAGGGAGGCAGAGAGGATAGAACAACAAGAGAAAGAAAAGCAGCTTATTTATTTTGTGTTGCAACCAGGGAGTTGGGGATCACAAGAACGCTCATTTTAGAGCACTTATTCACACAGAATCAAGTTTTAGAATGCCAAGCCTAGTGAGTGTGTGTGCTACTGAAAGAAAAAAAAAATGTTAGAAATTGGAGATAATTAAATGAACCTTCTTTTTCCTTTGAATGACCATTTCCTTCAATTAATCACAACAGCAAAAAGTCCCATAGCATCTTAAAGACTGGCAAATATATGTGGTAACCAAGGGTCTACCAAGAGATCATATTTCTTAGTTTATGGAGAACAGTACTCTATCTGGAAGGCTGTGAGAGGAACCATCAATTGTTTGAATGGTTCTCCAGTCCAAGTTAAAGAACAATAACTATCAGAAGAAAATGTAGGTACCTTGAAATTGCCCATCAATAATTGGCACCTGGACAACAGATACTTAGGTCACCAGGCAATGCCTTCCACACCACAATGATATGTAATTCTATTCAAATCACTTCAGTTTCTGAATGTGTATCTGTACTAAACTAGCACATGAAAATGATGCAAATCTGTGTCTTCCTTCTTTGTTAGGCATTTTCTGAATTATTATCAATTTAGATTCGTAAGCTGACACACTAGGAGGCAATGAGTAAAATCACGCTGGCGCATTTCCTCTGCTGTAATCAGCTTGGGGTGCCAGAAATAATAAATTAACTAATTTGAATTAATTTAAAGCTTCCTATCTCCCCCACCCCCACCCATCCATTTCAGTTTCTGAAGCTTCCTAGAGGTCCCTTTTGTCATGTGGAAGTCTTTGGGAGATGGAGGATCACAAATTCTTTAATTCAAATTAATTATTTTTGGCACCCAGATTGTTGTTATTCATTAATTTCATTCACTTATTCCTCATCTTTGTACTCCAAGTGGGCTGGTACATGTGCAAATCATAAATACAGTAACACATATAAATAGTTATTTTGGGGTGTTACTCACACAACTAGTGCATCTGTGACTGATGGAATCATATTTCTGCCAAGATGTGAGTTGCAATGTGTTGTTGCTTGGAAAATTACATTTGTTCCTTTTCCCACAGACTACTTAGAAAATGTGATTTATGTCACAGTTAAGACATGCTTCTGTTAACTGCATTAACTTATATTTTAGGGATTTTATGAGAATCATATGTTGGTTTTGTATCTAAGGGGTTGGCTAAGCCTTCATTATTGTAGGGAGCCTGAAGAGGAGCACTCCTGTACCCATTTAAAAGAACAGAAAGAAAAAGCAATATATTAATGAACACTAGTAAGACTACTGCATCCTCAAAGCATTGTCTTCTAATGTCACTACTGAAGAAGAAGAAAAAACAACCTCTATCTTTCTTCCCCTACTGTGGTAGAATATTTCTCAAAACCATTTACGTAAACATGGACTAATTACTTTGTTGTTTAGTCGTTAAGTTGTGTCCAACTTTTCATGACCCCATGGACCAGAGCACGCCAGGCCTGCCTGTCTTCCACTGCCTGCCAGAGTTTGGTCAAATTCATGTTCGTAGCTTCAGTAACACTGTCCAACCACCTCATCCTCTGTCATCCCCTTCTCCTCTTGCCTTCACACTTTCCTAACATTAGGGTCTTTTCCAGGGAGTCTTCTCTTCTCACGAGATGGCCAAAGTATTGGAGCCTCAGCTTCAAGATCTGTCCTTCCAATGAGCACTCAGGCTTGATTTCCTTCAAAATGGATAAGTTTGTTCTCTTTGCAGTCCAGGGGCCTCTCAAGAGTCTCCTCCAGCACCATGATTCAAAAACATCAATTCTTCATCGGTCAGCCTTCTTTATGGTCCAGCTCTCACTTCCGTACATTGCTACTGGAAAAACCATAGCTTTGACTATGTGGACTTTTGTCGCCAAGGTGATGTCTCTGCTTTTTCAGATGCTGTTTAGGTTTGTCATCGCTTTCCTCCCCAGAAGCAGGTATCTTTTAATTTCATGGCTGCTGTCACCATCTGCAGTGATAATGCAGCCCAAGAAAGTAAAATTTGTCACTGCCTCCATATCTTCCCCTTCTATTTGCCAGGAGGTGATGGGCCATTTTTGTGCTCTCATTAAGAGGTTTTTAATTCCTCCTCACTTTCTGCCATCAGACTGGTATCATCTGCATATCTGAGGTTGTTGATATTTCTTCCGGAAATCTTAATTCCGGCTTGGGATTTCTGCAGCCCAGTCTTTCGCATGATGTACTGTATTCTGCATATAAGTTAAATAAGCAGGGAGACAATGTACAGCCTTGTCGTACTACTTTCCCAATTTTGAACCAAAGAGTTGTTCCATATCCACTTTGAACTGTTGCTTCCTGTCCCACATATAGATTTCTTAGGCGATAATTAAGTGGTCAGGCATTCCATTTCTTTAAGATCTTGTTTGTTGTGGTCCACACAGTCATAGGCTTTTGCATAGTCAATAAAGCAGAAGTAGATGTTTTTCTGGAACTCTCTGCCTTTCTCCATAATCCAGCGAATGTCAGCATTCTAGTTACTAGATACTGTACTAGTTACTATAGTAATTACTAGATCCCCCCCCCAAAAGAGAAGCACTACAGTACTGTGCACCATCAGTATGTTTTATGCAGGGAAGTTTATCACTCTCCCCTACCCCATTAGGTAGACTTGATGGGCTGGAGCTGGCCCTAGTACTAATTATTAAGCCAACTATCAAAGGGTTCTGCAGAATTTCTTCAACTGAAGGCCAAAAATAATCCTTTCTGTTTAACATCTTTGTGATGAGTTCATTCAGTTGGCCTGAGTAATGGCACAGGATTCCTTCCCTTATCTTTTCTTAATTTCGATTAAAGGCAATAATGCACACAACTTGTGGTGATAATGGAGGTGATAATGCACACAACTTGTATAGCAGGCATCCTAGAGACCAAATGTCAGATTTTTCATTGTAGGGTTCATATGATTCATTTGTTCTGGGGACGTGTAGGATGGTGCACCAACAAATGTTTTTGTAAAACTGGAGTCATATTGAAGAATTCTGGCCATGCCAAAGTCAGCAAACGTAACATTCTTCTTGCCATCAAGAAAGGTCTTGATGAAGCACCAATTGTGTTTCTCTTCCTTAGAGAAGTCCATAAATTGATGTGGGAACTTGTGGCCCTCCAGATGCTGTTGGACGACAACTTCCATCACCCCAGTCAATGAACAGTCAATAGTAAGAAATTATGGTGGCATTGCTTAACATTTTTTAAAGTCATTTACATATCAATGAGGTGTTGTTGTTTTTTTGCTGCCTCATGTAGTTTCAGAGTGAGAGCTCTGGGATTCTCAAGCCGCAGCCATTAAGTCCAAGACATGCCCCCAATGAACATTGTTTGGTGAACCAGCAGTTCCTCAACTCTAGCTTAACTGAAAACTTTTAGAGATTACTTACTGAATCCCAAGTATCAATAACCAAACAATGAAAGTTCCAGTTGTGTTACCTGCGTTTGGCAACTTGTAGTGTCAAGCACTGGACACCTTAGTGATCATCTTTCTGCCCAATGGGCCTCAAATAATTGAACCCAAGCAGGACACTCACCTGCAGGATAACACTGTCAGGCTGGTTGAAGTTGGGAGCACTCGATCTTGCACTAGAGGGGCCTTGAGTTGCTGGCCACAAACCCAGCAGTTTCCGTCCACAGGTAAGAATGCTGCATAAGAAATTATGGAAGGAGACATTAATGTCAGATATAGACTTTCATGGTAGCAAGAACAATATCTAGTGTATAAAATCAGTACCAGCAGAATCCAATTATCAAAACAAATAACCTGCAGAATATTGGAAGTGTTTTCTGTTACCATACTCAGCTCATCCACAATAATCTGACAGTGTGTCTGAGGCTGGCAAATCAAAACTATATTGATCAAATGCTCAGAGACCTAAAAAGGCTGCAAGGAAGACAGAACAATCATCCAAGGCTATGGAAACTTGACTGTTAAGAATAGTTCTTCATCTACCTACATAATCAAGCCATGGGCAAAGTCTAAAGGAAAATGAACGTATGCAAACCTTGTTTTGCTCCTCCTGGCATCTTATTCTACACTGTGAAGAAGGCCACTTCCAACAGCACATGATATTATGCATATAGTTACACTTGAGTCTATCCTGGCCTGCTTTCCACCTTTTTCAATCAGGGCAAACAGATTTGGAAAAATCCAATGGTTAATGCCAGTTAGAATACACTCTCTGAACCAATGGGACTTGTTTATTTGTGGACTTAACAAGTCCCATTTGTTCAATGAGTCTATTCCAATTAGGCCTAAGAAATGAATTTGGCCCTGTTCAAGCAAGTATCCAATAGCAGCCTATGATCCCATTAAAGTTTGATTCTACTCAAGAGGACTTGATTGACCCCAAGACATGAACTCCCACTGCAGGCATTAAACTGGCATAGCAAAGCTAGAAAAACCATGTTATCATGTATTATGGGAATAGCACTTAACTCATGTAAACTCTGCATAGAAATGTGAGAGTATAATTCCTACATTTCATGGTCATTTTGTTGTCCTATCTAACTTCTCCCCTGTGGCAGCAGCATATATGTAGATGCAGCACTCTGTCAACTAAGGAGTGCTAGGAAGAGTGCATCCTACGAAATGGGTTATAGTGCATGCCATAAAAGTGTATGCCACAATAAATCTGTTAGTGTTTAGGGTGCAACAATACTCATTTTCCTCTGCTGTAACAAAATGACAGAGCTACACCACTGGAATTTATCCCAAACAGATGTCCTGGAAGGCTACATTGTTTATTCTCTGCTGAGCTCTTTATTCTCCCACACAGAAGCAAAAGGAGCAGGCACACGTACTGCCGAAAGTTGAAGAGTGGGGTGGTGACCCAGCCCAAAGCCTCCGGGACACGCCGCTGCTTGTTTGCCTCTGAAGAGCTCCCTGGAGGAGGGACTGGAATAGCATAGAGCGTGGCCGTCAGAAGAGTCTCTCGTGGTAGGCAATTAACTTGGATTGGGAAACAGATCCTGGAAGAAGTTACAGTGAATCAATCAGAAATCAGCTTCCTGCTATTCATGCTATAGCATTCTGAATACTCATGCTCCTTTAAAGTCATCATCCCAAGAAAGTTTTTTAAAGGAATTATCTCGCTTGCTATTCATAGCAGACCCCATAACACAAGTAACTGTGATTTGTATTTCACTGGTGTGGAGCAAATGTTGAAAGGGAATGCCAAGAGCCACTCTTTACTTACTGGATCTGTCTTTTGTCTTTCTCACCAAAAATGAAACTCAAGGTGACTCACAGTAAGATCTAGGGTGTGGCTGCACTGGCCAGTTGAATTGGACCTATTTGGCTTTTCATCAACTTGATTTGTAGTCTCTTTTGTGACTGCATTCAGTTTAGATGACCGCATGAAGACCCCAGGTAGTTTCAGTGCCACACTGGCTCCTCTATCCAATGTGGTTCAATCCATACCCACAGCCCCTCTTCCTCCTTTGATACCACCCCTCCTGCTGATCCCCCGTTTTCCTTTTATAGTCTGTCATAGAGATAAGCATGAACCCAAACCAGAAAAACCAATGAACGAGGCTGGTTTGTGATTTAGTTCCTGACTTGGTTTGGGGACCCTGTTTTGCCAAAGCAAAACGAAACACCAAACCTTTCCCCCCAATCAGTGCTTCATTTTGCTCCAGCAAAACAGGATGCCCGCCTGCCCCCACTGTCTCCCTACCTGCTCCTGCTGCCACCATGCTGAGAGGCAGCAGGCCCAGCTTCCCTGCCCAGAGCCAGGTGATGCCTCTGCGCATGTGCCCACGATTCAGCTGGGTGGTGGGAGCATGATCAGAGGCAGCGGCCAGCTGCTAGAAGCTGGGATGCTGCCTCTGAGCATGTTCCTGCCACCCAAGAGATAGGCAGGATGCATGTGCAGAGGCAGAGGTGTGGCTTCCCTGCCTCTGAGGATGGCGGCAGCAGCTGCAGGGGAGCTGGAGGAGGTGGCGGCAGGAGCAGATAAAGAGACAGTGGGGTCAGTGGGAAGGGGGTTAGCAGGTGGTAGAGGAGGCAGAAGTGGAGGCGGAGGGCAGGAGCAGGTAGGCCCCCCCCTTCAGACATGAACTGGAAAAATGAACTGCACGCTAGTTTGTTTTTCTGGGAGCTCATGGTGATTTGTGGTTAATAACGAATCATCACAAACCGCCAGTTTTCTAGTTCATGCCCAGCTCTAGTCTGCAGTTAAGTCACTGGAACTGTTTAAAGGGTTGCATAGTGGAAGGGAAAAAGAGACAGCTTTCCAAAGTTCTCCATACACATACAAAAACATACACACATTTCATGGAAATACTGTAGTCTGCTGGAGTTCGACAGAGTTATTTCAATTTTATATTGGTTTCTTTATCTTCTCTTTTTTTGGCTGCGTACATAGAAGTTACAAGTGCTAAACTACTGTAGCAATGCAGTGATAAAGTGATCTATGTTAGATTTAACTCTTAAAAAGTACACAAAAATGCTATTGGGCAACAAGGAAGAAGGATCATAGGGTAGATGTTCCTGCTGTCCCAAAAGACCATATCCCAACCATGTCACCATAAAACCACCTAAAATGATGCCTTTTGTAGAATGAAACAAATGGTCAGGCAGGCAAAAACACTATTCAAATTGCTGCAGATAAAAAAGTCAAACCCAGCAATTGTGTGTGTGTGTGTGTGTGTGTGTGTGTGTGGCCCTTATTTCTATTGCAGTTTGCACATAGATAATATCTTGTATGAGTGCTGTGTCTATGTTCACAAACTCTACTGCCCTTCCTTTTTCGTCTTTAGTATTTAACATCCAATTACAAGAAATGAAAAGCATTCAAATTTGCAGCAAGCACAATTACTATTATCCAGAATTGGATCCATACACCTACAAGAACAAGAACACATGTACCAATGGCATTTAACCTCAGTTTCCTACCAGAATACAACCAGTTTTCATTCCTTTAATTCTATGGCTATAGGCATGACTACTTTGAACCTATCAGTACTGATCCCTACTACTTTGGTTTTGAAAGCATAAGACCTCAGTTAATCCATGTATAATAAAGCAGTCATGTGGCATGACTGGGACACTGTGTGTCTGGATTTTTACGGGAGTTACTTCAAAAAAATGTACTCCAAACATCATACAGTTCAATTCATGTTTAACGTCATGATTTTTCTCCAAGAATTCTGAGGGGTGTTTTCTAGAGAAAACGATGAGAATTCTTAAGGACTCCTGTGAAAAAATATAACAAGTGAACATGTTTAAATCCACTGTATAGCTATTACCTTTGAACTGCAATTCTCAAAGGTACCCTATGGATCATTGAGTCCAGCCCTTGTCAAGGAGGTACAGGGGGGAATTGAACTCCCAGCCTCTGGGAGCCAGAGACCTAAACCACTAAGCTATCCAGCAGTCCTATACCAGGCCTCGGTATTAACTGCTCATTGTTGAGCAGGCTCTAGGCTCTAGTACCTCAGCAAGACTAATACTGAGGCATTTATGATCAAATGACTAGAACACAAAAATGGGGAACAAAGCAGGCGACAGAAATGAAGTAGGAGAAATAACTTGTAGAGTTCTGCGAAGCCAACAATCTGTTGCAAATAGATCGTTGGATAGACTTCAAGCAGTCAAAGAGTTGGTTGTAAACATGGCTATAACAAGATGGTCAATATATTAAATCATAAAATCAAATAGACTACATAAATGGAAGCAGAAAATTGAGTTATATTCCCTCTGGAAAATACAACAATGCTGGGAAAGGTAGAAGACAGCAGGGAAAAAGGAAGACTAAATAGGAGATAGATTGACTCCCTAGCTAGTCCTGGGCTTGAAGTTACAAGAGCTGAGCAGGGCTATTGAGGACAGGACATGCTGGAGATTGTTCATTCACAGGGTCACCATAAGTCGGAGGTGACCTGATGGTACCCAACAACAACAGTGCCATTGTTAGATATTAAATCAGAGGCTAAAGTAGGAGAGGCCCATTAGAGAGCATGACATGTTAAGTTCCTCCCTCAAACCAGAAACTGGTTATCCTCTACAAACTTAGATTGCAACAAGTTATTGTCCTCTGCTTCCCTCTCCACTCCTAATTTATCTCCCACTAGTGCTACTTGAAAGCATTTGAAATGCAAACTTAGCACAGGATGCTAAGATGGCGATCAAGAGAGTGACCAATAAAAAAAATACTAAAGGGACTTATTATAAAGCAAGAAAATATAAAACATATAACAGCTAGGATATTTTGGTCATGTAATGAGAAGTAGACAGAACAAGGTGGTTACAGTTAATAATTCAAGGAAAACTAAAGGAGAAAAGAAAGTCAGAAAGGTAAAGAACTTATTGGCTAGAAAATTGAATGCAGCTTGGTGTCATTAGTTAGAGCTGTAACCTCCCTGGTCAGGAAAGTCACAACGATGTTCAACCTCTAGCAGCACATTCCATTTCTTTCCTCACAAAAGAATTTAAAAGGAAAACAACTAGAATACAGGTCCAGGGACATATGCTGCCCCATCCCCCAAACAAGAGAAAGTTTCTTCATTTGCTGAAGTGAGTGGATTTCTGGAAAAGCTTTAGCCTGTAGCAGCCGCCAGAAGAGAAATAGGTCACAATGAAAGACTATCACTGCTCAGTATAACATCTGAACTCTTCCTGCACAGCAATGGAAAGGGAGAAATTTTGCACAGCTTGAGGCTGAAGCCTTTGGCTGATATTGCTCCTGGCAGGAGAAAGGAGTCTGATCCTCCATACATATATGTGTATGTATATATGTATGTATACATTTATATATGTCTGTATAAATATGCATACATATATAAATTTTCTAAATCTCTTTAAGGAAAATATAATTCTTCTTTTTTTTTTTTTACTGAACCGCTTCTTCTGTATAGTCCCTGATCATGTTCCCCTGTAATTTCCCCTTCTGTCTCTCTGAGCTTTTAGAAGGGAGGTCTTTCTTTCTTTCTTTCTTTCTTTCTAAAGGGAATTTAGAAGGAAGAAAGAAAGAAAGAAAGAAAGAAAGAAAGAAAGAAAGACCTCCCTTCTAAAAGCTCAGAGAGACAGAAGGGAAAATTAGAGGAGAAAAATGATCAGGGACTATACAGAAGAAGCAGTTCAGTAAAAAAAAAAAGAATTATATTTTCTTTAAAGAGATTTAGAAAATTTATTTTCTAGAAGCTCTTCTCTCTAATAGTTGAGACAAGGGTTACTTGAAGCAGAGAAAATGGTACTTGACACCCATTCTGAAATACCTTATTAATCTGTATTTATATTTATTAATATTAAGGTACTGTTTCCTTTCTATGGCTGAGCTGCAGTATTAGAAGCATAGGGGTAAACTCCAGTGAGGCCAGACTGAGATAAGGCTTCTTAAGGACATCTCTGATTACAAGGGGGAAGGCAACTGTGTCATGTCCCAAATGTCCATCTGGAGTGTTCCCAGCTAGATGATAGGAAGAAAGGGAAAACACACACACACACACACTAACCTTGTCTATCAGATGTTTCCCTTTCTATACAGCCACTTTAAGATGAAGTGCAGCCAACGGGACCCTATGTCGATCCTGGAATATTAGTACTGCTGGGGTGTGTGTCTGATGAATATAGCTTCATATCAACATAGAGACAGTCCAAGGATTCTCAACAGATGTCCCATAACTGAATGTACTTCTTGGTGCTAGCTATAGGCTGGCAGAAACAGCTCCATGGTGGATTCCTCATCCCGGCTGCCCCACCCTGGGCTTTGACCCATCTTCACTCACTTCTACACCACAAAGAGTTTAGATAATACTCTCCATGCTGCTTTGCTGTAGGTCCCAGCCATCCTTCTGTGAGGCAGACAACTTCTAAAATTATCCCCTGTCCCTCTAGCCTTTCAATGTCGCCCTAGTAAAAATGCCAGACGTAACTGGAACTCAGGAGAGGGCAGCAGTCTTCCTCCTCCCCAGGCTATTTTGGGATCACGTTCTCTTTTCCCCTTTCTCTCAGCGCTACAGTGTCTATGTACACCAAATGGAACCGAACAAGGTGGAGAGGGGAGGAGGGAGAAGAAATCTCTTCTGCAATCCAACCCAGTCGGAAGTTATTTTGTCAGGTTCTCAAATTCAGACTCCTGGAGGAAGGGTGCTTGTGGGTATACAGGGCTTTTCTGTAGTCACAAAAGTAGTTAGGGATGAGTCACTCTTTGCACAGCAGACAAGCTTGTCACATTCCCACAATATGAACCTTCCATAAAGATTGAAGGGAAGACTCAAGTTTGCCAACAAACAATGGATGTGCGCCAGGAAGCTCCAGGCAGCCATGCTTCTTTGCTGCCACATGTTCCTTTGTTGTCTTTACAGATACATCTGTCTCTTCTTCAAACTTTACAATATTCACCAGGAGGCACACAGTAAGAATACAGAACATGTGGTTCCTGCATAAAATGCCAGAGGCAAACTATACATAATATACAAAACTCATGAAATCATAGCCCTTCTTTACTGACACTTGATGTTGCATGCTTTTGAGTGATACTTCTTCCTTTTATGGCTACCTTGTTTGGGCAAGATTATAACACGGATGTTATTGAAAAGCAGAAGGGGCAACCTAAGATATTTTGTTAGTTGAGCCAAAGTCAAAGATAGTGTCCAACCTGATGCCAGTTAAAAACAATAACTGGACTGGCACTTGAATTTTTCTTCAATATAAGTGACAGAACAGTGTCAATGAACAATAATAGTGTGCCATAAAGTCAATTCTCACTAACTGCAGCCCTTTCCAGGGTTTTCTGGGTAGAGAATACATATAAGTGGTTTACCATTCCCTTCTGGGGTTGCCCTGGGACTGTACAATTTGCCCAAGGCCAGACAGGCTGGCCTTACTCATAAGAGGCACAATGGGGAATCAAACTCCCAACCTCTGGCTCCACAGTCAGGTATGTAAACCACTAAGCTATCCAGCCAGCATCTAGTACCATCTAGTACTTTAACTGAAATCAGCAAAATGGTTTAGGAGGTGCTGGTCAGGCCACTTGGCACTCAGCTCTCTTCAGTCACACCTTACTGCCACCTCTAGACATGTTACCTGAAACTACCAACCACCTCAGTCAGTGTGATGGCAGCAACTATTTTGCTACTTGGAGATGCTGGGAATAAAAGTTGTGAATTTCTGCAAACAAACCAAGACATATAGTACTAAGTTATTGCATCTTTGGTGAAATTTTGTTTTTCATAATTAGTAGACCATCTTTCATTAAATCAAAGGTTGGAATTGTTACATTTTGGACTACAAATATCAAATTACTCCAGATAGTACAGTTAGTGGCCATGCCAGTTTGGGAATTCTGGAAGTTGTAGTACAAAAGTAATGTTTCCAGTTCCGCATTAAAATATATATATCATTTCCCCAGGCTTCACAGTAAACGAGCTTCAACAAAGATAAAGGGAATAAGCAGGGATATGTCTTACTGTTGGTCCCAAATGATGAGATGGAAGAGGTACTTGTACACATGAGTTTTTCGGGTCTGTAGGGGGCTGCAGAGCTCCTTGCCACCATGACTGAGTGAGCAGGAGAGGTAGAAGTCTTCATAGCTGGTGGGGAGGGAAGGAGGAAGTAGTAAAGTGAGATGGGAAAATACTTGTTACCTCACAGGACAAAAAAGAAAGGTCTTGATCTCAAAGATACTGCAAGCAGAGAACAGAAGACGCCTGTGACCAATCTCGTAGCAAATGGGAAGAACACATGAAAGGAATACCTTGACTTGATTTATTTCATACACAGCAGCTGATTCCCTGCTGAAAATCTGTTCTAATCCCAAGCCTGGAAAAGCTCTTTTCAAGTCCACCCCCATACCCCAAGGGGACTGAATGAATGACAGGCAAGCCCCAGATGGTCAGATCTGGCTGTATAATATGGACAAAGCTTGTCTGTACAACCAGAGGGATCCTGACCTGTAGTTGCTCTGTCTGGATATGGTTTGGGGGGTTGTGTGAGGTAGTATTTGCTCGGTTTCAATTGGTTAAACAGAGTTTTAACGGGAGATTTAATATTTCCATTTCAACCCTTGTACGTTATTATTGAACCTCTGGGATGGAAAGAATGGCACCTTACATACATAAATATATTTGTACCCTCCCCATTGCCCCATTTGTGATTTTTTTTAAAAAAAAAAACTACTTGGGGCAGAAACTGTACCCTTATTCTTTCAAAATGCCGCATGCATAGATAGTGCAATAATAACAGCAAAATGATTAGTTGTAGCAGTATCAGTACTAATAATGATCATAAATATGCACATTTTACCACACAACAAGAGCAAACAAATGTATACCTTCTATATCAGTTTTGTACAAGAATGCCTATCCATCTTAGCCACTGTGGCTAATGGTTAGAGGCAGTAGGAGCTATAATCCAAAATATCTGGAGGTCATCAGGCTGCTTATTCTTGCCGTAGAATCTGGCTTGCTCTGCCAAGCCCGGAAAAACTCTTTTCCTGCTCCGTACAGGTATATGATATGCCCAGTGGAAAGATTATGAGAACAGCCCCAAATCTTGAGACTAACATGCTCTTGAAAACCAATCACCTTTATTTACACATACCATGAATATGTTTGAAGAAACTACAGTCTCCTTTTCCACATCTGCTTTTTTGAAGTTTTTTCAGGTCATCCCTGCCACCTAGAAATTCTTGAGCAGTCTTCCTCAGATTGATGCTCCGCAAAGGTGTCAAGACTACAACTCCCACAATTCACTAGATTCCTGATATTATATAATCATGAGGCTTAGAACCACCTTCCTCTTTGAAACCGACTCCTCAGGCATGGCTGGCATTTCAGTCCAGAATCATTTTTAGCCCCAGTTAAATTCACTTTTGATACAATTTACAGCTGAGCTGAATGATCCCAGAATCTCTTCTTTTCAGGCAGACCTCAAACTACTTCCAGTTCATCCTATTGATCAAAGGAGGGACTAAAAGGAGGCCATTCTCCCACAGATTTACACACTCTCTCTCTCTCTCTCTCCCACGCCAACACAGGGCATTTTCCTCAGATTGCTATCTTTTTGGAGCTAAGATGCTCCCCGTTTCTTCCCAGCCAGCTGGATCGACATACGCCACTTAGAATGCCATCACATGGCGCTCTGTCAGAAGGCCTGCCCATGTGACAGGTGCCAAGCGATGAGGTAGGGAGGGCTACAGGGCCACAAAGGTCAGGACAGGCCTGGATTTCCCAGGCTACTGCCTTTGTTCAGAGTCACTCACTCAATGGAATACATTAAAGAAGAGACAAAGGCAAGAGGTCCCTGGAGGGCTGGCGGCTAATGTTGCCATCACGTCCCCAAAAACACTGCCCCCCCCTTGCATGTTCCTGCTGTCGGGATGGATGTGGATTATCAATGACTACCTCCCAGACGTTGCCTTCAGTGAAACACAAACACACAAGCAGAGGCAGTTTACAAAGGAATGCTCCCTCCCGGCCCAGACTTCTTATTGTCCTCTATATCCATTAAGCAATTCCCTTCCACTAACTGCCATTGGTTGGAAGGGCATAAGCCCAGCTGTCACTGTCTTCAGGGCTGAGCCAGAGAGGCCGGGTGCCTGAACCAATGGACGCTGCTGCCAGAGCATTCCAGGGAACCTCCAGGAACACCACCAAGCAGGGAGAGACCTCTGCACTGCTTGAGTTCTCAGCAAACTTCTTCACACAGACTTCTTCTAGTCCTCAAAAATCAACCTCCTAGCAAGCAGAGTTCTTTCAGAAGATAATTCTTTAGCATATCAAAGGTTAGGCTATTTCCTTTAAACATCCAGTAGCCTGAGTTTGCCAGCCCTATCAGGGGATAAAATGTGTAACATCAAAATCCAGAGGTGACCCATGATCTGAAGAAGACGCCAGTCTCAGGCTAAGGTGATAGGTGTGACATGGTCTCCTCAGATCACAGGCCGTTAGTATCACAATCCCAGTAATTCAGATTTAAACATTGATTTGGCCCGGGGATATGGAATGTGCAGCCCTCCAGATGTTGTTGGACTCCAATTTCCGCCAGCTCTTGCTAGTTAGCCTTTGACTAATGAGAAAAGCAAAGCATTATACTTAGAAATATAATTGTAATGCTAACAAGGTACCCTCTTTATGCTCTTTGAAATGTAACAGAAACTTGTTATTAACTAACTAACAGTTATTTAAAAATAACTTTCCAATCTCCTGTAAAGCGGCAATAATAATCCTTCATCACTTCAAAGGCCTGGTGAAGGCCTTTGAAGTGAGCCTCGAACATCAGAGGAGTTGAAGGTTGTTAGATTAATTTAAGACTGGAATACACTACCTGATATTATGGCAAAAACTAGTGGTGATGAATAAATTTGTCTATGGAAATACCACTGTTTCAAAAAATTTATCACAACAGCAGAGCAAATATAAATGTATTTATATAGCACTGATCATAAGACAGAGCTGGGATGTATGTATATGTACACACACACACACACACAAATATTTTGTTGTTTTGATTTACTTGTTTTGATTTACAAACAGAAGGCATTAATATTTTGTTGTTTTGATCTACTTGTTTTGATTTACAAACAGAAGGCATTGTTCTGTGATTATAAACAGGAAAATGGATTACAAAAAAAGCTTTTTTGGAAGTAAAATTTTCTCTATTTTGATCCACACTAAAGCAAAAAACATTTGAGATTGTATTCACAGGTCTCCTAGGTCACATCTGTTTGATGCTTAAAGTTGCTTTGAATGTGGGTGCATATATGTGAGTGCATGAGCGCACACACACACACAAATACCTAAGATGTAACACAAAGTACTGCTGATCTTTTGCAGGCACTAGAGAAGAAGTTCTAATACTTTACCTGGCAGCCCAGGTTATAGGTATGCGATGAGCAGCATAGACAGTGAAGGAGAGAGGGCAGGAGAGGAGCCGGGCTTCTTGGGAGAGATAATGCTTTCTGTTTCCATGTACCACAGTCTGGAAGTCTGCATTGAATGTGTTGCAGTAAAGTTCTACCAGATCCAAGACGGCAGCAGTTAAAGCTTCCACTACTTTCTCTGTGGGGGAGAGAAAGTCCACAGGAGCACTTGAGAATCCACTATCCCACTGCAGAGTATATATGCCTGGCTAACTCCCTGATCATAAATATATTTTGCTAACGTTGCTTTCTAGTACCGATTGATCTCATCATGATGTCTCTACAGAGCCTATTGCTGGCATTTTTTTATGCTGCAGACTTTTTGAATAATCAAATACATGAATAATCAAATACTGTACTTTAGAATCAAAGTGTAAAAGAAAAAGAAGCTGGATCCCAAGCTTCTGTGAACACATGTGGGATTTATATACATCTGGGAACATATACATCACATTTATATAGTGCTGATTATACAAACTTAGATCACACTTCATGTTTGAATGTGTTTGCGGGATATATGCACAGAAATGTTCACTACTGGAAAAACACAAGACTTATTCACATCAAATCTAGCACGTTAAATCCTATGTAAAGCTCTATCAAGCCGAGTCCACATCAAAACAAGTGGTTAGGCCTTTCCTTCATATCCAAAACTCTTCTCAAGACTAAACTAGACACAATTGTTCTGTTGTGTAAAATTGTCCCTTTTCCCACAAGTCTACATTTTTTATACCACAGGAATAAAAGATTTCCCATTTGTATCAAGTTAGGCCTCAAACACAAACTCTCAAAGTTATGAGAATTGTTGGGTGATGAATCCACCTAAAAAAATCTGGTCAAAGGCATTGTACAATCTAGGGAACCTGTTCTATGCTAGAGATTCAATTGTTACAATACTGATTACTAGCAGTTCAATAAATATATAATAATTTTGGATCAGAAATGCTGTGGGGAGGCAATCCAATGTAAAAAGCCTTCAAGACCTAACACTCACACACATGCTTTCATACAGAAGAGAAGAAACTAATACCTCTGTTTTCTCTAACGGCCAAAACATTTGGATCCTATTCAGGAAAGAAAAATCAGAACATAAACATTTTATGACAGTTAGACAAAAAAAGAGAGCAATTCCCAGAGCCAACTCCCTTACATAACATGCATCAACGTGTTTCCACTCTCAGCAGTTCAAGTCCATGGAAAGCAAAAGCAGCTACATTTGAGCAGTTTTTAGCAATGTTAATTATAAAATGTCAAGTTGCAGAGTACAGATACAATCTTGGGAAGAGACCATGAATTGTTTAAATGTGGCCCCTTTTTGAGGATCCAGCTACGTCTACATACATATCCTCATGTGAAGGTGTGGCTTCCTCCTGCATGGACGAAAACCAGCCCATCTTGTTAAAAGTGAAGCAAAGTTAAACAAAGTTTGAACAGCAGGCTGTATGTTTTGCTATATTTTTAGTCCAAACAAGACCTACCAATAGGCAGAAGGAGATAACTGCCCATTGTAATCCATTTATAGAAATACAACACAAGTAAAAACGGAAACAAAATTTAAAAAGAGGTCAGTAAAAGTGAAAGGGAATGAGGATCAAAAGGAAGTCAGACTTTGTTCAGGTACAAAACTAAAGTGTGGTTTAGCATTTTGTGAACAAGCCTAGAACTTGTCAGCTTCACCATCCCCTTGATACTAGTCGTGCCCCGCTTTATGATTGCCCCGCATTATGATAAAACTGCATTATGATGATCTTTTGCGGTCGCAATTGCGATCACAAAACAATGGCCTGAATAGGGGGTCTTCGCTTTGCGATGATCAGTTCCCTGCTTCGGGAACCGATTCTTCACAAAACGACGATTTTCGGACAGCTGATCGGTGGTTTCAAAATGGCCACTGGGTAAATAAAATAGTTCTGTGCTGTTTTCTGGGACGGATTCCTTGCTGCACAGGCACCGAAAATGGCCACCCCATGGAGGATCTTCGCTGGACGGTGAGCTTCCAGCCCACTGGAACGCATTGAAGGGGTTTCAATGCGTTTCAATGGGCTTTTTATTTTCGCATTACGGCATTTTCATTCTACAGCGATTTCGCTGGAACGAATTAATATCATAAAGCAAGGCACCACTGTATACCGAGAGAGAGTCCATTAAAGTGAAGCACTGCCTACAGGATGTAGGAAGCAGGTTAAGAACTGGAATTCAATCCAAGGTCAGTCTTAAACATGTTGCTGAGATGAGATGTATGCAGAAAATCACAATGTGAGAACATACAGCATAAGCATTGACTACCAGGGATGGGAGCTCAAGTTGTGGGACTCGTCAAGTCAGACTTGTTGCACTGACAACTCGACTCGGACTTGACTTAGTTTTTTCTTCAATGACCCAAACTCAAATTGTGACTTGGATCCCATCCACCTAGTCCCTTTTCGGGGGGGCAGAGCGGATGCTTGTTTTTAATAGGGACTCAGACTTGGGACTTGGACATCCCTGTTGAGTACTGACTTCTCTTTCGCAGCTATCCTACCCACACATGGCAAAAAAAATGCAAAAGAGAAAATACAAATGGTGCTTTTTAGGGTCACATGTGAACCGGAGGTTGCCAAAGCGGTACTCCTTGTGCTTTCTTAGCAGGATATTTCTATTGTCTGAAAAGATGCAGAAAAATCTTTTCTTTTTTACTCTGTCAGCTTCAGTTTGGGTGTTTCAGATGAGACCCCACTGCCTCGTTTTCTTACCTTCTGGATTTTGGGCTGCATGCGAGATGGGCAGGGTGGCAGCTGATTCAGGGCAGCTGTGATCTCCTGGGACTCCACAGCAGCCAAAGCATTGCAGATGGCCATGATAGACTGAACTGCCCGCTCTGCCTTCAGCTGGAAGTCTCCCTGGGGGAAGAATGGAAGAAGGCCTCATGTCTCAAGGTAACAGCAGAAAAAGCTACCCAGGCATAGACCAAACTGTTAAGAGGTTCCTTGCATTTCACAAGTAGCTTTTTAAAAAATGCAATAGCATCAGCTGGAAGTTCTGGTAACTATTTTCATTTCCTCTATATGCTCTATTTACATCATTCAACAAGTCTGAAGGAGGAATTTTAACCCTGACATCCTTTCCTATGGTCCCTTATGGAACACCTACTCTGAAGTTAATATTTGCATTGTGTGTGGGGGGGACGGACCCTGTATTGGTGCCAGTAAAAAAGTGCCTCTTTCCATTTCAGAGGGCTCTCCCCCCGCACGCACACACCCAGAACTGCAGCAGGGAGGAAATGGTTAAATTCCTACTCCCTACCAGTTTTGATCCCCCAGCTGGAAATGTTGGGGTTGGGAATCAACTGCCTCTTCTAACACAATCTACATTTTAAAACTGCACAGTAGATGAGAACAGGCATTTACTGTTGTGCTTCACCTAAATCATACAGCCTTGTCCGATACTAAAAGTCACAGGAGTATGCAAGTTAATTAGAATCATTTTCCAAGTGGTCTAAATAGATAATGAAAAGCTATCATAAACAAACACAGACAGAAAAGGTCTTGTAGTTTGCATCTCCAAGCATTGCTGGAGAATAACAACACTTTTTGTTTAATTCTGTTTCTGTTTTTGTCTCACTAGTGTTGTAAGTGTCAGTCAGTGAACTACAGTGGACTGGAACAGGATATTTTCAGTCAGGCAACTACAAAGTGTTGTACTCTGGAAATGATGAACTCAGAAGAAAGGTAGTGGCTCTAATACTAAGGCAAGATGTAGCAGAAGCAGTCAGGGGCAATAATAGAATTTTTGACTGAATAATATCAGACTCCATGAAAAACCTATGAAAATAGCCATCATTCAAGTCTGTGCTTCAATTACTGATGCTGAAGAAGATGAAATCAAAAGCTTTTATGCAAGCATCCAAGAAGAAATCGACCATACATCAAAACAAGACATGCTTATAATCATAGGTGACTGGAATGCAAAACTAGGAACAAAGCAGAATCCAATCCAGCTTGAAAATTTGGCCTAGGAGACAGAAATGAAGCAGGAGAGCAACTCATAAGATTTCTGTGAAGCCAACAATCTGTTACGTTCAAGCATGTCCTAATGCCAATACCTAGTTTCTTGGAAGTTAGGAAACTATCTGATATTGCCAGTTCCTTCTACCGATGTAATTCCAGACTGGGCGCCTCAAAATATCTAGGTGGAATTGCCACTAAGTGGCACTGTTGCTCATGTCACACAAAGTCTACTAAATTCTGGTAGTCCACTGGAGAGAAGTTGCAGAAGTACAGAAGAGGTGGAAGAGTGGACATATCTACAATTCTCTTTCTTCACTGTGAAGTACTTAAAAGAGACCACAGGCCTAGAAAATATGTGTGGGATACTGTGGCCAGGTGTGGTATTGTGTTAGGAACAGGAGAAAAGTCAAGTGCACTAGAAGGGAAAAATAATATGAAAACATAGGAGAAGCTGTAGAAGCCTTCAGAGTGTGAAAATCCTTCTGTTTTGTAACTGGAATCACCCACATGAGCATTTTCCTCATGAAATCAACAAACACATCTCATTTATGAAAGCTTTCTTCCTCTGCTCAAAATCCGTAGCAACTGGCAACATGATCTCATAAAATCTTAAATCTAAACTTATCAAGAGTATGTAGACTTGAGATTCTGTGTCAGACAACTACAGTGAATTTTGCAGAGGCTTCCTAGCTAATTTTCTGTGAGTCACCACCTCAGAAAAGCACAAGAAAGGTTTAGAGCACCCACATTCATCTGTCTGTGCCACTCATATACATACATATCTATACGTCTATTTCCCAATCTTGAACAAAACAAGTTGTGGCTGAACTTGTGGGCATTGTCACGACAGGTTTAATGAGTTCTTGCTCCAGTCAGTTTACCAATGAGTTTTTCCTCTTCTGTACTAGTCAGGGTAAGAACTCACAAAAGCAAACATTCCAGCTTTAATGTAATTATCACTGTCTGTACATCATTCCCCTTTGATCTCACTGATGAATTATTTTCTTTCTGTCTATTCAGGATGATGCTCTGTGCATCTGATAAAGGAGGCTTGGTCTACAAAATGCCCCTCCCCACAAGAAAGGCAGGGATGATACTGCACCCTTTGTTACCCTTTTTGTTAAGTAGACAGGGGCAAAGCCTATTGTGCACAATGATACAAAGCCATGCGCATCCTGAACTCTAAAAAGGAACTCCTTAATTAGCAGCAATCTGCCTCTACTAGTGATGGTACCCTCCATGCCCTTTGCATAGACAGAACTACACAACAGGATAATGGCTGCAATGTCTCCTGCGTATCTCTGTTTTCTCACTTGCTTTACCGCTCTTATACTCCAAACTACACATTCTAACTTCCACATTAAAGGGCAAATAATGTGGAGGTTTTTTAAGAGGGGTGTGAGTGATTTCTGTTTGAGTCCTAAATCCCTTTAGAGGCATTGGGAGCCTAACCTTCACATACACTTAAATACTGGAAAAGAAGTTCACATATTTTTACTGTATCATAAGGGAAAGGAAACTGAAACAAACAATGGATATGGTGCATAGGAACTTGTTATCAAAAGCTGCTGGCAAAGTCAAGAACAGAACCCAGGGTCACTCTGCTACACCTAGTTTGTTTCCTGCTCTGACTGATAGCTCAGATCACTCTGCCCTTACAGCTTTCTGGCAGCAGTCCCGGACACACTTGTGGCTGGAAGCCCTCACCTTAGTCAGGAAATATGACTCTCATAAAAGCTTGAAGACTGGGATGAGGAAGAAGTGAAGCATGCCAACAAGTAGTGAGTTGACTGCCAGGTGAGGTGAGGGAAAAAAACAGGATTGAGGACATTTATTTTATAGGTAGACTTGACCCTGGCAGAAACACACAAAGTTCTTAGCAGTTTTAAGCAGAAAACAAAAAAAGTGTATTAGCAAAGAGAAGAGGTGTGATTGGCCCAGGGAAAACTGTGCTAAAAATGCTCCCTCAATCGCGTGGATTCGATCTTACGACTGCTGGTCTTCTGACCTTGCAGCACGGAGGCTTCTGCGGTTTAACCTGCAGCGCCACCACATCCCCATCCAGTGTTGTACTACCATATAATAAGGAAAGTTTTATTCCAGAATGAATGTAGGCAAAGCAACTGTACAGCCACATGCTTCTTTCCTTGCTGCACAACTGGGCAAAGCCAGCCAGTTCAGAAACTGGGGGTTATGGTCCAGAGAACAGAGGCATGGTGGAAGTTATAACAAGAGCAGTATGGTTTGCAGTGGGAAAACTGGAGGCTAAAATGGGTTAGGGAAGGTGGAAGAGTGTTATCGGTTTTTCCATTGCAATGTCTTTTGGATGGAAATTATTTCATATCCTAAAGATAGCAAAGCTGTGTACTGCCATGTAGACTGGCGTAGCTCAGTCAGCTGGAGTGCCTGGCTGCAGAGCCAAGGAACTGGGAATTAGAATCCCAACTCTGCTTCCTGGCTGAGATCACTCAGCACATGTGTGCTCTTGCGATTATGTGTCCTGCCAGCTGTGCGGCCTCGGGCAAACTGCACGGTCCCAAAGCACTGTCAGCAGAAGGAAATGGTAAACCACTTCTGAGTACTTTATCTCTGGAAAATCCTGGGAGAGTTACAAAAAGAATTGGAATTGACTTTATGGCACATCATTATTAATTAATTATACTTCCATATACTAATACTCATGAATACAAAGGCAATACACCATGGAAGTCCTCCGCATTGTTCTAGATATGCTGAAAAAAAGCATACCTTAGGAAGGGCTCGTATGAGACTTAGAGGATCTCCATGCAGGCCTTTGGTGGTGGCAGCAAAGCTCCTCAATGTCCACCCTTTGGGTGTCACTAGCTTCATGTTGTTCTCCGTATGTCAAGGAAAGTGCTGCTGCTGCAGCAGCATAACTTTTGGTTTAGCCAGACAGTACTATTGTGGCACACAGCATTTTACTTGTCCCACAATGTCTCTGGGACCCCAACGTAGCATCCTGCTTGCTAAGGAGGGTCCATGGGGAGGAAGACATACTGGTAACCAAAACTTGCTGCTGGCTCTGCCAACTGCTGATGCTAACTAACCCTGCTTTCATGGTTTCAACACCCTGTTCCTACCCCACCCCAGAGCATTAATTCCAACATTGTCCTCTCTCACCTCAGCCGCTACGAATGCATCAACCTCATTGTGGAAAGTATCAAAGAGAAGGCTCAGGGCTTGCCTATTGGAAGAAACAGCACAAAACAGCTCAGAACAGAAAATGGAAACAAGAGGCTCTATCTGCTACATATGGAGGAACCCTTCTGTTGCTCATGTTAACCTTGCTTTTCCACTTCTAGTCTATCTGGTTCAAAACTGTTTGTCTTGATTGCAGAAGTTCTCCAGGGTCCCAGGCAGAAACCTTCTCAGCTCTTATTTGGACACGCTAAGGTTGGTGGTCTGAGACCTTTTAAATATAAAGCATGTGCTCTATTAATGATCTACAGCCCTTCTCTAAATAGCCTAAAAACAATTGACATTACTGGCTTAAGTCAAGAACCTCAGCACTCACTGTTTTTATCTCTATTGATCATGAGCTTGTGTATTCCAGGGAAGCTGTCCCTCTGCCTTATTTCTCCCTTAACAATGTTACCAATCCATTCATCATTACCTGGTGATTGTCTGTTTGATTGGCCTCTCCTGGAGGTGAACATAATGGTTGAGTGTGGAAGGGCTTTGATCATCATTCACCTGCACAAAGGAAGGCAGTTACTCAAATGTGTTCCATATGTCTACTTTAAAGGAATGATGGGTACAAGCTGGCAACACTTACTGGTGCTGCTGTTTGTTAATGTATTTCACCAAAGAGTGGCACAAAGTATATAGTTAAATTCAGCAGGGGATGGACAAGAGGAACTCACATTCCCCTGGCACATAGATAGTTTACAGAACAATCATATTCCAGACCATGTTGTTTTTTTATCAATTACATCTGGGTCTTGGAAACAAGCAGAGTAGACTGCAAACACTTCTTGCCATGACAGTGTCTTAAATTTTATGTATTTTATCAAAGCTATATTACAGAGGCACGGCATAATGCAATTTTTCGGGCCAGTGCTAGCTACACAGCAATCCAGAGTCACTACAAGAAATGTCCCAGTTTATATAGTCTAATAGATTCCAGCTTGCCTTATGCTTTGACTTTTGCAGAGTAACCAGAGACTTTCTCTTTAACTGTTATAGCCAGGTACAGAATGAGACTGCCTGTCCATAGCGGAAATTCACACAAAAAGTAGATCAGAGAGCAAATCACATCAACTTCCCCTCCACCTACCATCTAGTGGTTCTCTCTGTTCTCCTTTTTCCATGCTTCATTAATTAGGTCCAGAAACAGTACTTTCTGGTGTCACATTCAGACTACAGCCTAGATGTAGTATAAGACAATCCCAATCCCAGGACATAAGAATGTTTTCCTCGTTGTCTATACAAGCAAACCTGCAATCTTAGATGAAGTAGGGCAACACTTGAACTGACAACAGCAGAGAAAACACCTCTGTTCAGGTGCTCAGTGACAAGCAATATTTACCGTCCTAGCCAAGTCACTGCGCACAGCCTTCCTCTTCATCAACTGCAGCCGAATGTCCATATCAAACTTCCTGCAGTGCTGGATATATTCATGACTTCCTAGTGGGTGTTTACTGAAAGGGGGCAAACAAATAAAGAAATGATCAGTAAAAGACTTTTTCACCTGTCTGTGTTACATTATGTAACTTACATAAAGACTACCCAAGGTAGGAATATTTTGTAAAATCATTGTTTATCTTTTATATAGCAGAGAACAAAAATAACTCAGCTCTGCAACAACTTTGCCTAAGATCTACATGGCTTATGTTTTTTCCTAAGAAATATCTATTTATAAATTCCATAACCAGTCTTTTTAAAAAATAACATGCATGCTTCCTAATCATTCAATGAAAAAAACCAAATTATTCAAGAGCACTGAATGCTTGTGAGCTTTGTGAGTGATGAAGAACGAAAGAATGAAGAAGCAGCATGGTTGAAGCGTGGGAGTGGACCTTGAGAGACCCAGGTTCTACTCCCCAGAGTGACTTTTATTTATCCTGTCACACTCTCTCTTAGCTTTCTCACAGAATATTATTAAGATGAAATGAGGAAGAAGACAGGCATGCCCACTCCTTTGAGCTCACTAGAAAAAAGGTATAACTAATAACTAAACTTTAAAAACAGGAATTAGTACACAAAATAAATAATAAGGAAAGGCAAATTGGATATGTGTGACGAAGTAATAAACAATTCAAAGCTTAATTTTCATTGGGGGGGGTGATTTCAAACAGAGGCATACAGTTTTGTTGGTTTTTTGTACTAAAATTCCCAGAATTTTGGGAGCTGTAGCCCAAAAATATGCACCTCTAATTTGAAAAAAAGAATTTAAAAAATCTAAATGAATTTTTTTTAAAAAAGGTATCAAACTTAAAAAATGTTGGGAAGTAAATTATGAAGTCACAGGCTAAAAGAAAAGGGATTCTTATATTGTAGTACTTCAAAGAATGATGAGTTTTAATTTTTAAGGCACCGCAAGACTCTTTCTTGGTTTTGTCGCAAAGACTTAAGACAACTCCCACACCCCCAAAACTTCTAGAATCCAGGAAGCTCACTGGAGAAGGGACCTTGCTGCAAGTACCTTGTGGCTCATGTCTCTGTAGCCTCCTCCTCAAGACTGATACACATCCACACTAAAATTTTGATAAAGTTACTTTTTTTGAGTCATAGTTACCAGAACTCTCTAGTAACAGGGCTATTTGCCATGTTGGTTGTGAGACTGTTGGGCTGCAATATGAATACAGTAATTTTGCAAAGTTCTGCTTTACTGCATATCGAAACCTTTATTGAAAAGCCATCAGACCCCTAACTCAGGCCACACTGGCTAAGTTGAAGATGAAAAACAACAACAGAATGAGCCTTTCTGTGGTGCCCCACAGTTGCAACAGGAAGTCTGGCCCTTTCACCTGTCAATCCGAGAGGAAAAGTCCATTCTTATCTCTGTTGGGCCTGCATCCTGGCAGGAATCAGCACAGCTGCTATGACACAAGAATGCTGTTTTCAGAGGCAGGAGAGAGGGAAGGGAGGGAGGCTCCTTTGTTTTTAAAGGGAAGAAACAAATGCAGAGTAAAACACAACCTCAAAGGCTGGGAAAAGAAAGAAAACACACACACACACACACTCAAAGTGCCAGCAGTACAATCTCAATGAGGAGAGCTTTAGATTTATTTTGAGGAAATGCTGCAAGGTCTTTTCATGTGGGCTACCTTGTAATGGCTGTCATGAAGCATTGTGGTGTCCGTGTAAAACATTCAATAACGATACTAGTTTTAATCATTCTAAAATATGTTCTACTGAATCTTTATTTGAATTCTTTTAGGTTGAGGCCAGTCAGAAATCAAGCCAACTGAAAAACAGCCCAGGGTGTGCATGGAATTTGATTGCATCAGGTGCCAAAATGCTTTTGACTGGCCTTGGGTCCTATATATGCAATGACCTGGAAAAAGAGCAATAATCTTTGCTACTCCCTTTCTGGCAATATAATGTCTTGGGCCAACCCTATTCACTGTCACTTTGACTTTGCAACACGTCCCCACCCCCAATTATTTCCTCTTTTTAATAAATGCTATCATACATTGGGCACATATGAAAGGGCAAGATTTGCTAGGAAAGACAGTAATGCTGGGAAAGGTTGAAGGCAGCAGAAAAAGAGGAAGACCAAATACATTGTGGATTGACTCTCTAAAAAACCCCACAGGCTTGAGTTTGCAAGAGCTGAGGACAGGGTATTTTGGAGATCATAGGGTCGTCATTGGAGATGATGCGACGGCATGTAACAACAAAATGACACTCAAGAATTCAGAAGCAGGTGATGGTGAGAATTTTTTCTCCAAGATCTCAGGAAATTGCCACCAGTCAGATAAGATAATAATTTCAGTAATTTCAGAAAAATTGCTTTAGGAATGCAACCAGAATTGGCATTCATTAAGGCCTTGGCCATGCTGGCTTGAGGATTCCGAGAGATGTAGTCCAGAAACATAGGCTTTACCAACCTCTGATATAAACTGTTTCATTTGATTTAACGCTCCTTCCAATTTCCATTCACTGGCTCCTTTTCTGAGTATTCAGATAACTAGGATGAGGTCTATTTCAGTCCAATTATCTAATACAGTACCAGGCCACACAGATCTCTGAAAACAACTTATCTTCTTAAAAATGGTCTCTTATCTCCAATCACTGCTCAAAAATAAAAGCAAAAAAGTCTAGCAGCCTTAAAAGGCTGGATCTGGTCCACAGCGTAGAGTTTTCCCCACTCTTCTACTAAAGAAAAGAGCCCTCTGGGCTTGAGTGACATGTGCTTTGTCCTACAGAAGAGGTAAAGATTATAAGATCTGCAGAATATTAGATTTTTTTCCCATTTTGAAACCCATGAGAGGGAACACCCATATGGATTAGGTTTTTTAAAAAAAGTTACTTCCTTCCATATTCTACAGTTCATTCTCCCCGTGTCAGGTTCTTGCCAGTTTTTGCTCAAGTCAAGGTATGCAGGTTAATTACAGGACAATGGAATTTTGCCTGATCCTTTGACTTTGAATTGCAGCAGTTCCATTATTTATCAAATATTTGATGTCTACTCTCACAGGAATGGCATGTCAAATATTTGGTGTGTATCAGCACCAGGAATGGATCGTTGAAAAACTAATGTCAACCTCAAACACATTAAGTTAGCAGAAAGGTATATGAAAATTAAACATCTTATTAGTTTTTATCTATACATATCAGCAGGCAAAGGAGAGTACTGGCCTTTCTGGGACTCATAAAGCTTCCTGCTTTTCACCTCCTATCAGCCTGTGGAAAGCGCTAATTAGCTAATCTTTACAGAATTCACAAAGCCTTCTATTTCTCCATGAGGCTGTGCAGAGTTTTGACTGATTTGCCCTTGTGGGAATCAGGAAGTGACTCCTCCCACCCCTCAGCAGAGCAATGCTTGTGTGCTTTGTGTTTTACAGTTGGCTTTAAAGCGGAACATGGAAGCAATTAATACACACTGCAATGGACAAGTATATCAGGTGTTTGAAAAAGAAGAGATTTAAAGCCCAACACCTGCTCATAGCCCATGCTCTCTTGGCAGCAGGTAATAAAGGAAAGAGGGTGGGGGAGGAAAGACCCTACCCTACTGCTTCCATGATAATCTCCTACAAGGAGATATCTTTGTGTCAGACCAATTGTCCCACTGAGCTCTACTGGGTTTAATTGCCACTACAGGATTGCAACATGGAGCAGTTCAATCAATCTCCATGAGGAGACATGCTCTCCATTTCCCCATGTGTCCCATTTATCATCCGATATTTCACAAAGTATTTATTTAAAGCTGATAAAGAATCAGAAACTTTTTCATGATAAGACCTCAGAAATGATGCTGAGCTTTCATCGCAGAGCTCAAGCAAAACATTTGGTTGCATACATAATCAAAATGCTCATGGGAAATTATTTTTGCCCTCAAATTATTTGTTTCTATGATTGAACAGGATTCAAAAAAATGTGAAGGTGCACCTTCTGCTCAATCAACCTGACCACACATGAATAGAATCAGGAGGCCCCTCTTGTATACTTCCTTTTACACATTTATCTTCTACAAGCAAGAACTTTCTTTGGGATGGTGAAATACTTATTTTATTTGCTCAAACCCTTTAAAATATTAACGATCTTATAACTGTAAATTAAAATTGATTTTTTTAAATGCAATGTTAAGTCTCTACATTTTACTCTTTAGATATCACATTGCTTTAATTTAATTGTTAATTTTATGCAAATTGGCCTGAAATCTACTGTGGGATAAAGACATGGTTTATGTCCTCAAATAAGTAAATAAATGTTCAGACCACCTCCTAATGAGTTTCCTACCCAACTCTCAGCAACTTGCTATATTGTTACTTTGGTCTTTGTACAATGATGTTAATATTTCCAATATCCATTTGTTTAAAAAGACAAAACATAATAAGAATTTGTTCCTTTTGTTTCTTAAGACGGTCCCCAACATACTCAAAACAATAGTGTGTGCTGAAGCAGTTGTGGTTTTCCCACAAAGACAATTTGCTACAGAGCTGCCAAGTCAGCAAGAGAAGCTACTACGAAATTGTTGCAATGCATCAAAGCCTGCACTGCAGCAAACCTGTCCTGCGGGGAAGCTGTTTGGAAGGAGGATCAGGAATTCTGTTATGCTGGGGGAACAAAGCCTTGCTTTTCCTCCACAGACTCCTCATGTAAGAGCTGGACAGAATGCATACAGCAGTCTCTCCAGATCAAATGTAAGTTGACAACAATATCCCTCCATCTAATTTTGAGTATTTTTATCTGCCAAAACAATACAATCATTTGGCCATTGGGACACAGATTGACGGAATGCTGAAAGCATGTCCTGCTTTCCTTTCTCTTCTAGTTTGCTTTTCAGACTCAGTGTGATGAGAAGAACTTGCTGCATGAAAGAGATCTCGTACTCAGGGCTGGTCTAGCTGTAATGGTTCTGCCTCATGGGACCCTCCAGAATATCCCTCTGAAGTAGTAGGTCTTCCTGCATAGCAGTAGATGGCCCCTGTAATTCCTCCAGTGGAAGAGAGGGGATGTGACTCTGACTCTA